GCTCCCTGCCCAACATGTGTGATGAGAACATTTGTTGAGCATATATAAAAGAATGAATTTAAACAGCCATTTCTCTACAGATGATTGAGGTGCGTAGTGAATGCCGGATGGCAGGAGCCCGTCAAACGCCTTAGCCAACTCTGAAATCTAACTCTACACCGTGGGTTCTGAAAAGTTAGAACCTCTGTTCCAGAGGCTACGAACTGGCCACTGTTTACCTACCCTACATGCTTTGCTAAGTATGTTTTTAACTTTCCTAAAAAGCTCTTAAAACCTCAAGACATAAAACAGCCCTCTAAGAAGCACTCCGAATTCTGTGTCCATATCTAGGGAACCGTGGATCAGGAATGGCCGTGTGAAGCTGGTCGGCTGGCCTGTCTCGGCCCCCCGGGCCCGCCGACAGTGGCTGTCAAGCTTGACCGAAATCTGTGAGACCAGCTAAAAGAATTCTGAGCCTGCCTCCCTCCCTCTGTGTCCCTGTCACCCTGGAAACCAAAGGCTAAGCTTAGTCAGCATTTTTGTTCACAAGTTATATTCTCCTACTCACCCGCCTCCCCGACGGTCCAATTAAAGAGAGGATAGGGGTAAGACAGTATGGAATTCGTTTGGAAATAGTAACAGTCTCTCCACAGTGCAGGCCCTGACAAGTTCAATTCTGCTGCTTCAGCAGGCAATGCTAAATTTAGGGACTACATTTAAGGAAATTTTCCCAGTTCGGGGGAGGGAGTGATATGGAGGTTAAACCTAAGGTCATGCATCTTATCTACCACGATTCCATATCCTGAGTCCTTTAGAAGAATGTGTAACACATGTGGCTATATGTGTAAGCGTATATGTGCATGGTGTGTGTGCATTCCACCTATGCATGTATGCACAGCACTGCATGGAAATCAGGGGAACTTGTGGTAGATGCTTCTTTCTGCCTTGTGATTTCTGGCAGGCTTGGGGGCAAGCGCCTGTGCTCCCTCTCATAGGTCCCTCATTTTATGTTCATATTTTGAGATAACTAACCCAGACTGCCTTTGAACTCCCATTGGTAGTCCACCCTTACCTACCTCTCAATTCTCCTGCCTTAGCCTCCCAAGCAGTTGGATTAGAGGCCTGCTACCATCAGGCCTCACCTAGTTAGGATGCTGAATCTGTGGAGACACTGCTACTTTGTTCCAGTCTAGTAGTTGGTGGACAGTTTGTTGGCCAGGAGGAGTAGTGAATGGAAAGAGATAAAGGAATATACAATATTTTCACAGAAAGTGAATTTGTGCTCAGGGACAATAATAAAGGTCAAAGAGGTAACCACTACGACCCCAAGGAGGTAATGGTGTTAATTTTCCCTTTGACACACAACTTGGGAGTAGTTACTTCGTCTTCTCTGTGACCACAGAAGCTATAAAGCCAGCCATGCCCTGTTTATCTTTCTGTTACCTCCAATTCCATAAATATTGGCTAGGGGAATCAATGAGGAGATAAAGGAAGAAGGGGAAATCAAGTTTCTACCCTGAATCAATGGAAACTCACGATAGAACTGCAATCACACTGTCCCTAAATCTATTTTGTTAATGCCCTGAGCGACTTTAGCACCAATGAGGTAACACAGGACAACACAGGGACAGCGGTCAGAGAGTACAGGCCAGGAGGTCAGGCAGTACAGTGGAGGCGTGGCTTCCCCACTGGGGCAACATCAAACTGTACATTAATAAAAGAATAACAGGAGGAGGCAGAGACCAGCACAGGGCCCGAGAAGACAGGTTGTCCCATTAGAGATCTCCTGCAGACAGGAGAGGCAGGCTGGGAGGTTACAGACCTCCCAGTGAGCAAGGGATGTCCAGGCTGCTGCTGGTGACTGAGACTGAGAAAACCAACAGAAGTTACAGAGAAACCACACATCTCATCTGGAAACACCGGCCCTTCTACCACAAATTCCTATTTGGTGCTAGAAAGTACCTGAACAGGTGGATGGAAGACCTGGTTTACTTTGAGTCTTTTCCTACCCCAACCCTGGCTAAGACTCAAATAACAAATCACCAGAAGAAGGCAAAAAGGCTATCAGGGATGGGCAGTGTGACTCAGTGAGTAAGGGTGCATGCTGAGCAAGCCTGGCCCCCTGTGGCCAATCCCCAGCTCCCGCAGGGGAAGGAGAGAACTGACTCCTGATAATGGTACTCGGAGCAACATGTGTGCACATACACAGTAATAACAAAAGCCTGCCAAGGGGCTGGAGTTATAACTTAGCAAGTAAGAGCATTTGCTGTTCTCACAGATGGTGCAAGCTCAGTTCCCAGCACCTGGTGGTTCACAACCATCGTGAATTCCTGTGCACCCACCTGGTGGTTCATAACCATCGCGAATTCCTGTTCCAGGGGATCCAATAACCTCGTCTGACTTCCCAAGGAACCAGGCATGTCTATGGTGCATATGCATACATGCATGCAAAACATTCACATGTAAAATAAGATATGTCTTTTAAAAAAAATGAAGCCCATCAAAATAATATTCAAGATATCCTGGAAATGCTCCCAGAAAACACTCCCATGCCATTATCATATGGCCTTATTACATACGACTAGGCAACATGATGGTTGGTGGGGGGAGGGTGATCAAACTTCTGTGACTATTAGATCTATCCAGACATTTCGCCCCTACACTCCAGTATCAAAATAATAATTAAAAAGCTACCAAAACCATCCATCCTGTCTCCTAACTGGACACACACACACACAGTCAGAGCCGAGCAACACTGCCAGCCTTTTCGCCTTGCTGTGCCACGTGAAGGGCTGCACACTGGGCTGCCCTAGAATGTACAAAGTTCCCCAGCTGCCAGGGATCAGCACTGAAGGAACTATGCTGGCATTTCTGTAATATGAACCATCAAAAGTATCTGCGGCTCAAAGGCACCTACAGTGAGCCTCAAGGAAGCAATCCCGGGCACTTTTCCCCACCCTTTTCAGAAATTCCTTCTGTGGGAAAGGAGGAGATGGGACAAAAGAAGGAGTTAAACAAGAGGAAGGAGCAGAAACACATCATCCCTGGCAGAAGAGCGATTACAAACAAAAAAACAAAAAATCACCATTTAAGATCATTGAAAAACAAAACTGGGAAGAACTTATAAATGAGACCATAATACTGTATAATTCACATTGTATTTCCAAATAAGAAATTGGTCAATTCCAAGTAGAAATATCCTAGGCGGTGGTGGTGCTCGCCTTTAATCCCAACACTTGGGAGGCAGAGGCAGAGACATCTCTGTAAATTTGAGGTGAGTCTGGTCTACAGAGTAAGTTCCAGGACAACCAGGGCTACACAGAGACACCCTGAGTCCAAAAAAAAAAAAAAAAAAAAAAAAGACTTGCTCACTAAATAGAAATATCTAGAAATGGAAAGCAATAATATGATTATTTTTGCCAAGAAACATTATTATGATGCATCCAAGAAAGCAGAGATTTAGGTCCTAAGAGTGGAAACCACCACTGTAGTTTCCTAATCGCTGTCTTCCTTACTTAATATTCATCTCAGATGTATTTGATCAGCATGACATTATCATTGATAGAATGATGTATAGAGTTTAAAATAACAGCTGTAACTTGGGGAAAGTATTTACCCAATAACACTCCCACGCTCCCTTCCAAGGACACTCTTTGAACAGTTGAAACCATTTCCTTAAAGTGGCAAAATGACTCAAACTCAGCCAGGTGGATCCCTTTCTTTCTCCCTCCCTCTCTCCTTCTCTCCTTCCTCCTCCTCTTCTCCCCGCCACCCCATCTCTCTAATTCTCTGTGCTAGGGACTAGTACATGCTAGGCAAGTACTCTACCACTGAGACACACCCCCAGCTCTAGGGCCTCAAACTCTCAAGCATTCTGAGTCAGTCTTCCAAGTTCTGGGTTGAAGGTGTGCATCACCATGCCTGTTGACGCTGAGCCCCCAGAAGACACACAGCAGTGTCCTGTCGACCAGATGAATGTACATAGTATGGCGCACATTAACTGGACTGAGCCAGGCGAAGAGGCACATCCCTATCCCAGGATTCAGGAGCTGAGGCAGGAAGATAGCAAGTTTGATACCAGTCTGGGATCCATAGCAGGACAATTTTTTTTTCTTTGGATGCAGGGTCTCTAGCTGTCCTGGAACTCACTTTGTAGGCCACGCTGGCCTTTGAACTCACATGGATCCACCTACTTCTTTCTCAAGTGCTGGGATTAAAGGCTTGCACCACTATGCCCAGCTATATCAAGACATAGTCCTAAAACAAAAGTCTGATATCCATGCAGAATGTAGAACAGTCTGTCTAAATCCATATCCAAACCAGTTTTCTTTCCATTCTGTTCTGTCTTCATCCTTTTTCATGCTCTACAGTAGAACAAGATGGTTGGCCACAGAGGGCATGTTTTATGGAATGCCTCTCTGCTATCTCCTTAAGGGAAAGGGGACAAAGTTGACTCCATTTCTAGAGCCAGGCCCTAAGACACTGGCAGCTTTTAACCCCCACGGCTTCCAATATTTTCTCTTGGAGGATTGCTGCTATCTGTCCTGGTATACTTGAGACTGCGTGCTTAATGTAATCCCAACTAAGCTCAACCTGCCAGCAATCCTTGCCATGAGCTTACATCGTTCCGAACCTTGCAAACCACCTGCCAGATGACTACCACTGAGTGAGAGGCCTTAAGGACACAGAAGCCCTTTCTAAATTCTTGGCCTACAAAACTGCAATTAAATTAAATGAGTATTTCAAATCCCTGGGTTTGGAGGAAAATTTGTTATAGAGTAATAGCTAATTGGAGCATGTTCTTTCTTAATTTTTCCTTTCTCTCCTCTTAAACATTATCAGTGGAAGTGAAGGCAGCCATGCCAAAAGACATGTCCTTGAATTCCTAAGTTTAGCCCTGAAGATAGTTTAGGAAGAGAGAGTTAGGAGAAGAAACCGAACAGGAGGCTTTGACCTCATCCTGAAGGCAAATAGCCACCCAAGGCCACAGGGCCTCCACAGGGTACCACGGAAGACCATACCTGCCTCAGGAGCTCCTCTTGGCGCATCCTGATCCTCTCTCTCTCCATCTGGATCCTCTGGAGTCGCAGTTTCTGCTGCTGTTGCTGCTGAGTGGTCAGTGCATTGGGCACGCTCATGAGCCCCGTGGGTGGGTTCGGGGTTGGGTGGTTCTGTGGACTCAGGTTACTGGGCCCGACTTGTGGCTGATGTTGGTGATTCATCACTACAGGGGGGAAGAACACACAGATCAATGACCAGGGCTTAGGATTCCTTATCATAAAAGGATCAGAACGCTTTGTGCTTTGGAATATAGATTCTGAATTCCTTCTGAGCACTTTACTATTAATCATTACTATTTTAAAACTATGCCCTTAGTTCTAGCCACAAAGGTACAAGTATTAGCCCCACACCTAACTCATCTAGTTTTAGCTTTCTGTGCTGATAAACATTTTATTTCAGCCGGGCAGTGGTAGTGCACACCTTTAACCCCAGCACTCAGGAGGCAAAGAGAGGTAGGAGGATCTCTGTGAGTTCAAGGCCAGCCTGGTCTACAGAGTGAGTTCCAGAACAGCCAGAACTGTTTCACAGAGAAACCTTGTCTCAAAAAACCAAAACCAAATAAACGGAAAAATTATTTCACATTCCCTGTGCCTAAGATACATTTTTATTACACTTATTTATTTTCTTTTGGGGGGGATGCATATTGATACGCGCAAGCCACAGCATACATGCATAGGTCATAGCTGGTTCTCTGCTTCCACCACGTGGGTCCCAGAGTTACTCTCGGGTAGTTAGGCTTATAGCAAATACCCTTACCCACTGAGCCATCTCTCACAAGCCCCATTCTCAGATACATACTCATCGTAACATAAAACAAAATGGTAAAAATAAGGCCTATAGAGATTGTCACAGCTTAAAAGAGATTTTTCTCGAGGACACCTGGGAGTGTGTGAATTTTCTCCGACACCCTGAGTATCTATCTGCACAGCAGCATCCCAGAAGGCCTGCCCTCAATGCTCTACCAGTGGGTAGACACGAACACTCAGGACGCATGAATGAACTGAGAACAGCAGGCAAAAAACAGGCCTCCATCCGAAGAGGGGCCTAGTCACACTTTGTTAAAAAGGAGTAACTCCTGGGACTGGGAGTGTAGCTCAGTGAACAGAGCACTTGCTAAGCATGCAGGAGGCCCTGGGTTCTAGCCCCAGCGTCGTGTAACCTGGAGTGACGGACGGTGCATTCCTACAATCCTAGCCTTCAACGGTGGAAACAGGAGAATCAGAAATGCAAGGTGATCATCGCCAATCCAGGAAGCCTGAGGCCTGTTTAGTCTACATGAGATCCTGTCTAAAAACATCAAAAAAAATTTCAGCACTCAGGAAAGACAACTCTGGATAAGAGCCCTGGCTGCTCTTCTAGAGGACGCAGGTTCGATTCCCAACACACATATGGCAGCTCACAGCAACCTCCAGTTCCAGGAGATCCAATGCCCTCTTCTGACCTCTGCAGGTACCAGGAACAAACAAGACACACAGACATACATGTCATTAAATATATGTATCCTACATATAATTTTTTTTTGGAGCCAGGGCTGTAGTGGAACTTGCAATGTAGACCAGACTAGCCTGGAACTCAAAAAGATCTGACTGATTCTGCCTAAAATACTGAAATATTTTAATTAAATCCCAGAAGTTAAATATCTAAAATACGTACAGAAGACAGGAGATGGTGCCACTCGGTTCCTAAGCTTTGTTGTGATGAACCAATGGAACCAACGGGGCATTTCTTACACCCTTAGGTTTAAAACAGAGAACAAAGCAAAACAAACAAACAAAAAAACCCACAGTTCCTACTGATGGCAGAATAGTTGAAATGAATTTCCCTTCCAGAAATTTGGTAGAGTATAAGACACAGGGCTGACTCTTCCCAAACCACACCCTTGCTAGCTTCAGAATGTCTGCTCTTACAGGTGTTCACTCTTACAGGAAACACCTGCTCCTACAGGTGTTCACCCTTATAGGCGACATCTGCATCTGCTCCTACAGATGTTCACTCTTACAGGAGACATCTGCTATTACAGGTGTTCACTCTTACGGGAGACATTTGCTATTACAGGTGTTCACTCTTACAGGAGACACCTGCTCCTACGGGTGTTCAAAGTTACAGAAGACCCCTGCTCCTATAAGTGTTCACTCTTACAGGAGACACCCGCTCCTACAGGTGTTCACTCTTACAGGAGACACCTGCTCCTACAGGTGTTCACTCTTACAGGAGACACCTGCTATTACAGGTGTTCACTCTTACAGGAGACACCTGTTCCTACAGGTGTTCACTCTTACAGGAGAGACCTGCTCCTACAGGTGTTCACTCTTACAGGAGACACCTGCTCCTATGGGTTTACTCTTTCAGGAGATATCTGTGGAAGTGAAGGTAGAGCTGTCGTTTCCTTGCACTGAATTTATATTTGACCAATTAGGCTGAACATCCATGATTAATTGTAGAGTCTGGAAAAGACTGGGCTTTAGACAATGGTTTTGTTTTCAAAATAAAGCATACTCAAGCATAGCACACTCACCAGAGTATGTGAAGATGTTTACAATAATACTACTTACCATAGTAAAAGATTAAATATGATCTTACTGTCTATCAGTTCCACATTATAATCCTTTCATCGAGGCCCATTCCCAGATAATAAGGGAATAGGATAATCTCATGGGTCATAGGAGCAAAGGGGCGGGCCAGATATCTGAGCAAGGGACTATTTATGGAAAGGAGGAGTGGGTTATGCATACACAGCTGTTGTCCTAGAATGGGCCAGAAGCTGGTGACAACAGTACCTCTGGGGAGGAGTCTGAGTGTCAAATATGGGAGACCCTCTTCCTACTCTGCATCATTCAAATTCTTCAAATGTGCCCACACGACTTATGTGAAACATGGGTGAATAGTTTTTAATTAGAAATTCAAATAAGAGGGCTGGGAAGATGGCTCAGCAGTGAAGAGGGGCCAGTGCTCTTGCAGCGGTAAGGTGCCCAACACAGGCACAGCCCTCCATAGCTCCAGTCCCAGGGAACCCCACCAGGCGTGCATGCCATGCATACACACACATGTACGCAAGCAAAATACACACATAAAACTGCTCTTTCTTCAAAGGTGAAAAAAACAAACATCATGGTCCTTTGAGTACCAAACTCAGTATTTTCCTGGTGTAGTGGATTAAAATGACACTAAAATTATTTGAAAAACAACAAGACTGAGAAAATAAGATCAGAACTAAGAACCCACTTGTTGCAATTGCTCATTACAAAAATGAGGAAAACAAGACCAATAGAAAGCAGCCTAGAAGCCAGGGGTCTTGACTTAAGTCAGTGATCCACTATTCAACTTGGCTTGGTTAATTTGCAAGAGCTACTGAGTGGCATCAAGACTGGAGCTCATGACCTTCGTCTGGGCCTCCTTAAAGTCACTGCCTTTGGGTGCTGGGGGAACACAAGATGGTTACAGTAGAAAGAAGGTTACCAGAAAAACAAAGTCAAAAATCTGACTTTGCAATGGACAAAAATATTCCTTGGGATGATATTCTAGAACATTTCTGAGAGGAGATGATGATCCCATTGTTAAAAAGCACACCACGGTGCAGTATGAGACAAAACTACCATGAACTGCCTCAGATAGACTCTAGACTTTGCGGGCTCAAGACCTTTGCCACCCCTAAAGAAAGAAATAAACCAAGTACATAATTTCTCTACTGACAGAAGAACGCAGCAAATTCAAGTTGAGACATCTGTTTTTTCACTTCTAAGAAAGTAAAATTATCTTTTTTCATGTTTTGCTCTATTTTCATGTTGTTTCTATTTTATTCTCTTTATTTATTTGCTTTTAATTGGTGCTACTCAATATAAAAGAAAACACCAAGACAAATTCCACAGCTTGTGATATGTGATACAATCGCAGTATCCTTGATGAAGCGCTAGGGACGAGAGCCATCAAGGACAGACCTGGTCCTCTGACCACTGCTGCCCCAGGATGATGTACAATGACACTCTATTACCCTTTCCAGCAAATACTCTTGATCATTTCCGCAAAGCCTTATGTGTAGAAATAAGCTCAAAGTGGAGAGTGTTCCTGAATTCAGTTCTATCTACATGGGGGAAAGTCTTTAGTCTTGAAGTATTGCTTTGTGCAGTACCAGGAAGCAGACAGCATAGAGAAAGTGTACGGGCAGCTTCCAAGAGCTGAGAAACAGGAGAGGGGCAGCTGAGAACCAAAGGCTGGAAAGAGCAGGGCTCAAATGTTTGACAAATTCGGCCTCAGAAACATCCAGTGGCTTGTTCTTCTGTGTTCTCGGTTTGCTTCCCTCCTGTCAGCTTTTGGTTGTACATACACAAAAGACCTCGTGGAGAAACCCAAACCATAAGGCAAGCAATAAGGTTAGGCTGATAATCAAAAGCCCTCCTAGGAGCTAGCAGGGTTGCAAAGGAAAACCAGTGTTCCAGTGGCCAGGAGCTACAGGGAAGCCAACGAAAGACACAGACGTGACTTTACACCCATCAAATTCTTCTCCACAAGTCCTACTTGCTGTGAGAGAAAGCATGGTGGGGTGCACATCCATGGCTAGCAAAGTCTCTGGACAAGTTCTCAGCCTCTCCTTCCCTGCACACACCTGGGGTTTGAAGCTGAATTTTCCACCTCTCAGCAGCACAGTTCCACTTGAGTGGGTGAAGCTTTCCTAAACTCTGGAGACTTCCGGTCTGTGGTACCTGCTTCCTTTTGTGCCCCCATGCCACCAGAAATGCAGACTTTCGCCCTGGAAGTCACTGTGGCTCGTTGGTTTAATAAAAACACAATACCCATGGTGCCTATACTGATATAAAGAGATGACTCGATGAATAACGGGGAGAAGAGACGAATCTCTGGAACAGACACGCAGACAGTTCTTGAAAAGAGACAGGAGTCCCACAGAAGAAGGAGAAAGCTTTGCTGTACAGAAACCTGAAAAACCTGTCCCTGGCCAGGTGACCAAGGTCAGCATTAACAGTGACGAGATGCAATAATGGTATATAACTTGACCTAACATGAGGAGAATGCTGCTTGTTGGCTTTTTTATTATTATTCTTTTTAATCTCATGGTCTTCTTTCCCAAAACCATTATGAAGTCTAACAGTGGGGGGGGGGATCCATTTCTAATTCAGGGGGATTATATAAAACACCTAAGCAATACTTTTT